TCGTAATAGTGCCAGTGGTGGCGACGGTTACGATGATGATACTGATGAGTATGATGAGGATAAGGCTGATGCTCATGATTGTGGTGGTGGAAACAATGATGCCGACAATGACGATTATGACGATGGTGATGATGATGCTGATGATGATGCTTACAATGGCGATGATGATGATGATGATGATGATGATAATGATAATGATGATGATGATGATGATGATGATGATGATGATGATGATGATGATGATGATGATGATGATGATGATGATGATGATGATGTTAACGATGATGATGGTGGTGATGGTGATGGTGATGGTGCCGATGATGACGATGCGAATGCTGATGCTGCTGATGATGATGACGATAATACGTACTGTTGCTGATGATGATGATGATGATGGTGATGATGATGCCCGTACCAACTGCGGGGAGCCAGTGACTTGCTGAGCTGGACGCCCGGCTGCCATCGCCAGGCGGCCCGTCCGAGCGCGAAGTGCGAGTGCGTGACGGCCTTCGTGCTCACGCGCGTGCAGACCTCCTTGGAGATGTTCGTGCTTCAGCTTTTGGTAGGTCTCGAAAGCTTTGCAAACCGGGTGGGGGTCGTCAGTCCGCCTGGCGCGAAGGCCAACGCACTCGAAGCCCGGCGGGCGGGGGCGCGCCCAGCGTGGAGTGCTCAGTGGACCACAGACGCAGGCCGTCGGCGTAGCGAGCCCAATCGCCCTTCGCGTTGCAACCCAGGAGGCGATGGTGAAGAGCTCCCTCGTGCATCCTCGCAGCGGTCGTCCATCCGCCCACCCGAGTTTTCGGGAGCGAAGAAAACATGCGAATGCGAGCCTTCCTCATCGTGGCAATGAGGGGGTCGAAGTCGATGCCACTGATGTCCCTGAATTGCTTAGGCCATGCGCGGCGCAGACAGGCTATGAGCATCTCCCGAACGCTACGCTGGAAAATCACCTCTTCTTCAGCATCACGTCGGCCCTTTGCTGCACACCCTGCTTCGAGGTCTGGGTCCCCGAAAATACCCTTGACGGCGGCTGCCATGGCCCTCGGAAGGTCGCTGGATACGGGCAGAGGCTGCTTCAAAGCAGCACGCTCGAATGTCCATGCAGTTGCCAGCGTCAACCAGCGCAGGGCCCACGGCTCCGGGCGCGCGAGATCGCCGAGAAAACGGGCCGGCGCAGCCCAAGCGGCGGCCCGTCGAAGCTCAGCCAACGGCGTCATCCACTCTGGGTCACTGAGCGCGGCGCGGATCAGCGCGGCGACGCAAGCCAGAGGGAAGGAGACGAGGTCGACGGCGCTGAACTCGGAGGCACGGGCCATCCCACGAGTGGTGAAGGTTGACGGCGGCACGTGCCAGAGCTTGTTGACGACGCCGGGCTCGGCCTGCAAAGGAGCGCGCGGAGGGAGTCCGACTTGGGCGACGCACGACATGATAGGAACACGGCCTTGACGTTGTACTCCTTGATCGTGGTGGTGGAGCCTTTGGCCTTGGAGTATGCGTCGGCTTGCTGCTGTCACTTTCTCCTCGGGGCCTCCCACATCTCGCCCGTGACGTTGGGGTCCATGAGATAACCAAGGTAGTAGGTCGCAGCCCTTACGATGGCGAACTGGACCCACTCGAGGACGATCGCGTGCAGCCGGTCACAGATCGACTCAATCATCTGGATCGCGAACTAGGCGAACAGAGGAATAAGCTGGCACTTTGGGGGGTTCAGCCTAAGACCAGGACGTGTTCGCATGTAGTTGACTGTGTTGGCGTACTCCCTCAACATGCTGATGTCGAGGATCGCGGCTCCAACATCGTCTGCGCAAATGCGCGTGTTGCCAAGCCCTTGCAGGTTCACGGTGCGTCTGATCCTTTCCGCGAACGGGTGCGTCGACACTGCGAGCATCCCTGCAGAGGGCCCTCTAAAAGAAGGCAAGCATGCAGAAAGTGAATGCCATAATCCCGTGCGGCATGCTAAGTGCTTAAAATAAGGTCCAGATCCAGCTATGCTGCAAGCTGGGGAGAGCAGCGGCGATGTCCCAGAAAGCAAGGATTGAAAGGTGGAGCGCGTTCTAGGGGTGGTCGTACACCAGGGCGGCGCAGTCGAGGTCGACGATGTTCTGGGTCAGCTGCCTTCGAGCAACGCTGATGATGAAGATGATGATGCTGATGATGATGCTGACGATGATGATGATGATGATGATGACGATGATGATGATGATGATGATGATGATGATGATGGTGGTGATGATGATGCTGAGAATGGTGATTATGATGCTGATGATGATGAAGGCGATAATAGTGCTGATGATGATGGTGATGATGATGATGGTGGTGAGGATGCTGATGCTGACGATGATGATGATGATGATGGTGATGATGCCGATGGTGATGATGATGCTGACGATGATGATGATGATGATGATGATGATGATGATGATGATGATGATGATGACGATGGTGATGATGATGACGACGATGGTGGTGATGATGATGCTGAGGATAGTGGTGATGATGATGGTGATGATGAAGGTGCTGATGATGATGCTGAGAACAGTAATGATGATGGTGATGAGGATGATGGCGATTTTAGTGGTGATGATGATGGTGATGATGATGATGCTGACGATGATGATGACGATGATGACGATGATGGTGAAGACGATGATGGTGAGCATGATGATGCTGACGATGATGATGATGATGACGATGGTGATGATGATGATGATGATGATGATGGTGCTGATGATGATGCTGAGAATAGTGATTATGATGCTGATGATGATGAAGGCGATAATAGTGCTGATGATGATGGTGACGATGATGATGATGGTGGTGGCGATGATGATGCTGAAGATGATGATGATGATGATGACGATGGTGATGATGATGATGATGATGGTGGTGATGATGATGCTGAGAATAGTGATGACGATGAAGGTGCTGATGATGATGATGATGCTGAGAATAGTGATGATGATGGTGATGAGGATGATGGCGATAATAGTGGTGATGATGATGGTGATGATGATGATGCTGACGATGATGATGATGATGATGATGACGATGATGACGATGATGATGATGGTGGTGAGGATGATGATGCTGACGATGATGATGATGATGACGATGGTGATGATGATGATGACGATGATGATGATGGTGCTGATGATGATGCTGAGAATAGTGATGATGATGGTGATGATGATGGTAGCGATAACAGTGGTGATGATGATGGTGATGATGATGCTGACGATGATGATGACGATGATGATGATGGTGATGATGATGATGATGGTGGCGGTGATGATGATGCTGACGATGATGATGATGACGATGGTGATGATGATGATGGTGATGATGGTGATGATAATGATGCTGAGAGTAGTGATGATGATGGTGATGATGATGGCGATAATAGTGGTGATGATGATGGTGATGGTGATGGTGATGGTGAAGATGATGATGATGCTGATGATGATGATGATGATGATGATGATGATGGTGATGATGGTGATGATGCCACCACCATCTCAGCCGCCACCTGACGTGCGGCTTGAACTCCGCGCTGCCCCTCGCCAGCGGCGCTGCCTGCCGGAGCGCGCCCTCCGCCGCCGCTGGCGGCGGGCCGCCGCCGCAGCGGGCGCCGCGGGGGCCGCGTGCGGCGCACGGCCGCGGCGTCGCGGTCGGCAGCAGGGCGGGCTTGAGCCCAGTGGGCTGGAGCCAGCAGTGGCTACGGAGCGCTCGTGCGTTGCTCTCCCTCCTCCTCCTCCTCCTCCTCCTCCTTCCTCCGCCTCCTCCTCCTCCTCCGCCTCCCTCCTCCTCCGCCTCCTCCTCCACCTCCTCCTCCCTCCCCAACTAAAAAGCACATATTAAAAGGTGAGGGAGATAGACAAGGAGGAAATAATCTCGTTTCTAGTCCCCATCCCCATCCCATCCTCCTCCGCCTCCCTCCCTCCTCCTCGCCTCCTCCTCCTCCTCCTCCTCCTCCTCCCCGTCCTCCGCCTTCCCTCCTCTCGCTCCGCACTCTCTTTCAGCCATTGCTGCCGCTGCTGGTGCTGCTGCTGTTCCCATCCCTCCTCCATCTTCCCATCATTTGGCGACGCGCACAAGCAGATGGCGCGAGCGCGGCGGCCCTCTAAGGAGCCAACCCTCCTGCGCCACCGACTCGTGCAGGCCGACAGGTTAATATCGCTATCGACTACATGCAAGAGTGACCCTAGGCAAGAGTGACCTTTGGTGCGCAGCTCAAGGGCCTAAGGCAGGCCAAGGTCAAGCGCGCAGGGCAGTACTGGTGGGGCCCCTTGTGAGCCCGCACCAAAGGTCACTCCTGCGAAGGGTCACTCTTACGTGCAGTCGGCACTAGCCCGGGCGTTGGTAGAACTGGGTTTAGTGGAACCTGGTTTAGTGATCTGTACCGGGGGCGCCCCCCCGTCCCATTTCCACTAACCGGAACTGCCGTCACCCGACAAAAAACACCGGCTATGGCAAACCTGGTTTAGTGATTCTGGCCACTCCAAAGGCTCTGGGGCCCTACCACTAACCAGGTCCCCTTACCTGGGGTCCTGGCCATACCCGACCAGCACTGCACTCTCCTCCTCTTTGGACGCCCGAGATGGGTACGGAAAAAATGGGTACAATGTCCAACAACAAATGTTGTCCCGAACCAACAGCGGCCGCTGTTGGGCAGGCGGCCTTCTGTCTCGAATGGACACAGGCCGCGGCGGCGTGGACAGCGAATCCTGTTCAGAATGAACAGGATCCGCTGTTGGGCATCGTACCCATTCTTTCCGTGCCCATCTCGTTCGTGCAGATCTCCTCCTCTGGAGCCAACCCCATGGCGGCCGGCAGCGGCACGCGGTCCCTGCACAGCCCGTCGACGGACAACACCATCGTGAGCGGCGGGGCCTCGAGGGCCGGCCTCGCGAGGCAGCACATCCTCGCCGAGTCGGGCAGAACCTCGGACACCGCGGAGGACGAGGAGGAGGGGGAGGAGGAGGAGGAGGAGGAGGAGAAGGAAGAGAAGGAGGAGGAGGAGGAGGAAGAGGAGGAGGAGGAGGAGGGCAGGATGTTGCTGCTGCGGGCACACTCTCCCGCCGCCCCCTCTGGATCCTGCAGCAGCTGCCGAGCCTGCTTGGCCTGCGGCTCCTTCTTCATCTCCTTTCTCCCTTTGCCCCCTCCCCCCTGGTCCTCCTCCTCCTCCTCCTCCTACTCCTCCCACCTCTCCGCCTTCCCTCCTCCTCCGCCTCCCTCCCTCCTCCCTCCTCCTCCTGTCCTCTGCTCCCCCTCCTCCTCCTCCTTCCTTCCTCCTCCTCCTCCTCCTCCTCCTCCTCCTCCTCCTCATGCTCCTGCTCCTCCTCCTCCGCCTCCTCATCGTCGCCGCCGTCGTCACCATCATTATCACCACCACTGTCACTGTCATGCCCTCCTCATGCTCTTCATCAGCATCATCGCCATAACCTTCATAGTCAAGTTGATTATCGTCAGCAGAATCATGCTCGTCACCACCATCTGCCTCATCAACGTCACCGGCGTCCACATGATCAGCACCACCAGCAGCAGCATAGTCATCTTGGCCGTCGCAATTCTCAAACGAATCATCATCATCATCATCATCATCATCATCATCATCATCATCATCATCATCATCATCATCATCATCATCATCATCATCATCATCATCATCATCATCATCATCATCATTCTTCATCATCATCATCGTCATCATCACCATGATCATCATTATCATCAGCAGCAGCATCATCACCATCATCCTCATCCTCATCCTCATCATAGTCAGCATCGTCATCATCATCACCATGATCACCATCATCATCATCATCATCATCATCATCCTCATCATCGTCATCATCATCATAATCATCATCATGGTCTTCATCATCATCCCCAGTATCATCTGAATCATCAGCATCATCAGCATCATCAGCAGCATCATCAATCGTCATCATCATAATCAGCATCAGCATCATCATGAGCAGCATCATCATCGTTAGCATCATCCTCATCAGCAGCAACTTCATCATCACCATCGTCATCATAATCAGCATCGTTGTCATTTGTATCGTCGTCCACGTCATCATACACACCATCACAATCAGCACATCCGTCGTCAATCACCGTCGTCATCATCATCCTCATCATCATCACGATTATGATCATGATCATTGTCGTCATCGCCAGATGTAGCGTCACCAGCTGCATCAGCAGCAGAAACATCGTCATCGTCATCATTATCAGAATCATAATATGCATCATCAGCAGCATCATCATTAGCACCATCACCATCATCAGCAGCATCCAGCATCAGCATCATCAGCATCATTATCATCATCATCGCCATCATCATCAGCAGCATCATCAGCATCATTATCATCGTCGTCGACACCATCACCACCACAATCATCGTCCTTAGCATCAGCAGCATCTGCAGTATCGTCCTCCTCCTCCTGCTTCCACCTTCCCAGAAGCCTCACGGAGGCCTGGGGGGGGGCAAAGACAGGAAAAAAACTGAGAATGTCAACAAAGACAAAAACACAACAAAACACGAATCCAAAAAGACAGCTCATAAAAACGGCCCAGAAGAGACGATCTGGAACTCCAGGGCTGCGTTTCTTCAGGAATTCTTTCCGTCGAGCTCAGTGTGTGGGTGGTGTGGATGTCGGCGACGAGGGCTTCAGTTCGAGGCACGGGCTTGCCTCGACTGGCCTCCTGCGAGGCCCGAGCTGTCAGAGCCCACGGCCTAGGGAAGGGAAGGGGGGGCAGTGCGAAGGATCGTGGCGATCACTTCGCAGTAGCTGAGAGAAGGGAAAGGAGGAGGAGAAGGAGGAGGAGGAGGACAAGGAGGAGGAGGACAAGGAGGAGGAGGAGGAGGAGAACACGGACGACGAGGAGGACGAGGAGGAGAAGGGGGACAGGAAGGGCAGGAGGGCCTGAATAAACCCATGCTGCATCAACGATGCTGCTCCTCCTCGGGGCGCGGGTCGGAGAACCCTGCCGAGGTCCTCGCCTGCCTCCCAGGGTGCGGGTTGCCAACCACACCGCTTGCAGACCACACCCTTCGGAGCTGCCGAGTGTTAGGAGGTGCCAGATCTTTGTGCCCGTCGTCGGCTTCAGGAGTTCGGCCGCGGACCGCGGCGCCCTCGGGAAACACCCCGCGGCGATGGGGCGGGGGGCTCCGCTGTGAACAGAGCGCTACGACGCTGGCCTGTGAACCCGTCACCAGCCCCCTCCTAACATTAGGTCGGGCATGTCCCCCTAGAGGCGAATTCTGGAGCAAAAGCAAAAGATCGCCCCAAAAAATCAAGCACAGTCAAGAGTAGCCCAAACCAATTCGTCCCGAGGCTACTTGTTTGACTATTCTTGGATGTTCCTCCCGTAGAGGGACACGCCCGACGCAATCCCAACAGGTTCCCGCAAGGAGTCCCCCCTCCACTGCGGGAGAGCGCCCCCCCCCCCCTGACAGACCGAACACGTCCCGCGGGCGTGCCATCGCAACGG